AAAAAAAAAAAAAAAAAAAAAGAAAGATAAAAACTCAGGAATTATCGTCAAGTGAACAATCGGAAGCTTTTTTCGCTGGTCCCCAACGATCTGTTAGCAACAGTGAAGAATTTGAATCGCCCGTATTTTCGGTTAACGAATCTTGATGACGTCGTTTTCTACTGTTTCCCACTTCGCTGGTTACTGAGCTGACGACTTCACCGCCAGAATCTGGCGTATATTCTTCAGTTGGAGGAGGACTTCTGCAATTTTCTTCTTCATAGATGATAAAATCAATCCATCATAGTCGGGCTGTATACTTGACTAATCGTAAGTTACTAACAACAAAACAACTGATAAACAGAAAACCACAAACAGCTTTTTTGTTCCATCAAACTGTATACAACATATTAACACTGCCAGGTATAACAAATATCAACAAGATCAACAATTCTGAAAGAAACAGAGCCGAAGAAGAAAAGCTGACTAACCCGTCAGAAACTGAACTTCTCGGTGATTGAGACGGTTCACTTGTATAATTATCCGATGGCAAAGTTAATCTTTTTCGAATTTCCGAATCGCTTTTCTTTAAACCTTTTACATAATTATAACCCGCATCTTTAACCACCTGAACAATAAAAACAATTGCATCTACATCAGTAAAACTGAATGAATTTAATCCGAAAACAGATAAACCGTTTATTTCCTTTAATTTATTTAACTAATTCACGAACTGTTTAAGTGTTTTCCATTTTTTTCTTACTGCACTAAAGTAACGCTGTGACTGTTGAGCAGATGCCCAATTCTTAACTAAAAATCCATTTATTTCTTAACGCAAAAAAAAAATGAAAAAAAAATATCACATTTTTTCCACTGCTTTTTTTCTACCTTCAAATAAAAAACCAGGAATTTTAACATAATTTAAAAAAATTAATTACTTATTGAAGATGACAGTTGATTTTTCTCTTGTTTCCCGTTCTTTTTTTTTCTTTCCTGCCCTTCTTAATCAGTATAAAATACCAACCTGCCTGGCAAGTGGAAAAAGTTCATCTCTTCGCGTTAGAAGCGCCGGTTGCCGGAGACACAGCTGGGCTGCAGCTTCGTTTACAGATACTTCATGCAACGTTAAAGGCTTATCCGGCTTCCGTTTGGCATCAAACCTCCCGTAAATTGCTGAATATTTACGGTATTCTTGGAGTCGTTGCGGTGAACCCACCGGTAATTGCATTACATCCAACAACTCCCTAAAAATGTCAAATAATATACAAGTTTTTTGCCCAGAAAGTGTAAATTTGCTGTTCTTTGCTATTAGAAAATGACCAAAGACAAAACATTTTGTTCTGATAGGACTTACCGACTAATTTTTTTCTTATTTTGCGTAAGTTTTGGCTCCAGTTGCGGCATCCGCTCAATCAACCGAATGGAACATTGCGCTAATTTTCCAATTTGCGCATCTGTTAATACTGGAGTTTCAGTTGTAGAATTAATACCTAAACTCAGATATGCACCATACAACGAAAAAAAGACACAAGAGACAGGTGTATGATAGCTGTTTATAGTTTCCTTTTTCTTTCTTGCCAGCAGTATAATTGTACTGTTGAAACAAAAACTCAGCCTGGTAGCCTTCTGAAAGTTTTGTATTTGGCCATTTGAAATTCTTGATTACAGTATGTCTACTTACCTGTTAAGTCATAGTCATTGTAACTCGTGTCAGTATTTCCAGGACTAGTGGAAACGGAATGAGGAGTAGCACTTGAATGATTCGTTGAGCTAAGTAACGTCGCAATCGTTGTCGTTGGAACGTTAGAAGAATCATGGTTGTTCAGCGACGATACACTTGACGTCGTTGTTGGAGGTACGCCAACAAGACTTGTCAAATAATCGCCGGCGAGAACATTTGCAGTTGCTCCAACTGACGTTGACGTTACTGATGTTGTTAAAGCTTCGAGAACAGATTCTGTTGCTAGAAATTTATTGTATTACAGGTTAACAAAGTAATGCAGATGCCCTTTTCAGATGAACACCTTATTAAAAATAGAATTTCTTTTTTTTAATAATTCCATTCTCCAAACCTCTCTATGTTGCTGTATAGTTCTATGATATTTGTAAAGATTTCAATAGAAATTAAAAGCATTTTCAATAAAATTCTGTTGAACACTTTGACTTGCAGTGTCACACTACCACAAAACCTCATGTGTCAGCACTTAAGCACCTCCAGTTATCAATTTAAAACACTTTCTGATCGTAATAAAAACGGCTTTGTTACCATTAAAATTTTATCTCTATCGATAACTATAGGTGATTTGTCAAAATCGATAGTTTAATCATGCAGTAGTAACTCAGCAAATTAAACAAACTTAAATTAATCGTTTGGATAAACAAATTTCAAACACCAACTTGCAATTTGTTGCTGAGATGGTAGATGTGGTGAATTACGTCCATGCTGCAAACAGTTTATGTCATTTAGTCTGTTTCATTTACGGTATGATGAAGATTGATTCGGTAATTAAAACCGAATAAAAAGTTTGAAATACAAAACAGTTTTTTCGACCCTTTTTCTTCACTGTCATCAACTGTTTTACTTGACTCCAAAGAAAGACTTGAAAATAAGAATGAAGATAAAATCTAAATAGGTTATTATTGGTTTTTTTCAGCTGCCATGTCTACACTAACTTAGGATTTTTTTCAACGTTTGCAGCCAAATAAAGTCAGTACAAAAAAAGGATGAACTAACTGATGTTGATGGGCTAGTATTTGGTAGGGATGCAGCAACTGCCAGGCCCAGTCCAGACGTGGACATCAGAAACTGTAATGCAGTTGCCGGATTCAATGCTGCCGTAGACGGCGACGATACAGTATAGGGGCCCATTGGTGGTACACCAATTTGCTGTATCGCCAACAGATTGAATGCATCAGGATCTTTACTAAACTCCTAAAACTTTTCATGAGTGATTTCCTACAAAACAAACAATTTTTTTCTTTTTTTTTTTTCTTTTTTGGGAAGAAAAATCCTGCAAAAGTTTTTTTTAGTTGACATAAGTGCAAATTTCGTTGTTCGTTTGGTTGTCTAACGCTTATTTAACAGTAAAAAACTTCTATCTCTTTTTCCTAAGCGTTAATTTTTCGCTTTCTTCCTCACAAGGCAATAAAAATAGAAACATTGAAAAAAAAACAGAATTTTTAAAAAATCTGCAACGACAATAAAATAAACTGCCATTGCTGCTCAATAAAGAAAAAAATTTTAATTTAATTAAAGAAAACGTATGAAAACACAGGTCGAAAACAGCTTTTAAATTAAGTCAACAACATCTTTCATAAGTATTTTAAATAACGTTCAGGAACAAAAAAAAAAGCTACAGATGCAATTTAGCGTGGCAGTAGAAGGAGAAAAAAGAACCACTCAGAAGCAACGGTAATCAAAAACAACGTCAACTGGTAGCTCATCAGACGACAACTGATACTGCTTCTATCACCGTAATAATAAAATGACAATCTTCAAGAAACAAAACCTTTTCATAACTCTAATTGCTTGTATACTGCTGAATAAAAAAGATAGTTATAGACAAATAAGCTTTATATTACTGAAGATGTAAAAAGCAGCCTAGAAACAGATGCATTAACTTACAGTTAAAGTTCGTTGAAATCTTCGGACATGTAACGGCTTAGAAGCCATCCCCACAACAGACATTATTTCTAGAAATTCATGTTCATCACACGTCATAAACTGATTTATATCGTCTCCTCCTGTAATAAAAAAATATAAAAAATAGTATGTATATATATATAAATATACTATAAAATATACTCCATTTTGTGTCAGTTTCAGTTTTCATTCAACTTTGAAAAAATATGAAGAAAAAACGCTCCCAGATTAAACTAGGAACGGAAAGGTATATAAACTATTGCAAAATCAAAGCATTTAATTTGATTAGATTGTTTTTTGTTATTACAACAAATAAATAAAAAAAATGCAACAAAATGCTGTTCATCTCACACTTATCATCTTCAGCTCAACCACAGATCTATTGCTTAACACTCATCAAACAACTTCATTGGTGTTTATCTGCTCCCATTAAAATGGCTAACACTAATCTTAGATACCCACAACACTGTGCATGCACCAGAAGTAGGTCAGGGTTGACGGTAAATGTCGATAAAAAAATGGGAATGTATAAAATTGAAAAAAAATTGAAACCACTAACAACGAACTAAACAAAACTGTTTGATATCTGAAGAATGTAGACTTTGAATAAGAACTAAATTATATAACAGAATCAAAAGAAAAAGTAGAACTAAAAATAATAGTTAGCACTTTTTGTTGGTTTCTCTCTCCTGCTGCTGATGATGATAATAATAATAATACTAATTTATGTAGCATATGTTATTATTCATAAAAAATTTAAGCAAAATAACTTGAAAAAATGTATACAAAAATGTATATGTCAGTTTGGTGCAAAAAAAACCCCTCTAAACCAAAATCAAAAATGACAACAGTGAGAAAAAAAAAGGAAGAACAAAAAACAGAAAAAAAAAGCAGAAAAAAAACGGAACAGTTTATTGCTGTCATTAATAAAAATCCTTTTAAAGATTTCATTTTCTTTTTCGATTTGGTTTAGTTGTTAGTTTTGTATTCAATAGATTCTCTTAGATGTTGCTGTCATTGTCGTCTACAAGTGCCTTTTTTTGTTCAATATAAACTTTTTTTTTACTCTGCAAATTACAGTCACTAAACTGGGAAGAAACCAAAAATGAAGACTACAAATAAACCATATCAAGGCTCAAACTACGATTTTTCCTTGTCTTTTTCTTCTCTGTCTTCTCGCACAACCAAGTTTCCCTTTGTTTGACAATGCTTTAAGATTTACGGCCATCTATCTGTTTCGGGGTGTTGCCATCTTTAGCAGCTTTTTATTAGAAAGAAAAAAAGAGCAAAAAAAATTCATCATCAGCTGCTATACTGTTGTCGACTTGATGATAAACATTCTGGTTTCCAATTTAAACTTTTTGTCATTACTTTTTTTTCGTTTTTTTTTTTCCCCCTCCCTTGTTTCCTTAGTGCATGTTATCAACTCTTTTTTTCCAATACTTCTTCCTATTGTTGCTTATCTACCTAATTTTTAGACTATATTACTAGTCAAAGTAGGCATAGAAAAAGAAACCAGAATAGAAAGAGTGGAAAAAAAACCAGCTGTATGAAATAATAAAAGAAAAAAAACCAAAAAAAAAAAAAAAAAGAGTAACTGTAGTTACAAACTAAACCTTGTGCAATAAAGTCGTCGTAATACTGTAACAAATTTGCTCTATGTAACACAGCTAATAATTGCCATTCAGAAAAGTTTGTTGGTTGCCGACCGGCGGGCCTGAAAATATTCAAATTAGCATAGCCACTATTCTTTGCACTGATCTATTGAATTTAAACTTAGAAGAAGAAAAAAAAAAAACAGAAAAAGTAATGGCAAATCAATACACCATCTTATTGTAGAACCTAGACTTGTTTTTACTGTCAACTTTATAGCTCATCTGTCATTCACCTTTTTTAATGCTCGTCTACATTTCAGCTTATTTATCTGACGTACCATAATCTGTATATTAATATTGCAATTGTTGCACTGCGTCCAGAAACTTTGATTATTTTAGTAAAATGTATATACAAACATTGTTCGACCGGAGAAAAACCGTATAAGCTTCAGTTGATTTTTTCTTGTATAATAAGGGAAAAAGAACAAGTCAGTAATCACAAGAACGTTATAATAAAACGTTAGGATTCTATTTCATTTTTTTACCGCCTTCTATCGCCTCCTCCCTTCCGTCCTCTTCTCTGTTTAATCATTTTGCCCCTTCCCTCCCCATCCCTCCTTTCACCGCCACTTTCTTTGTTTTATGCTCTACTTCTTCATCTTCCTCTTACTGCCCTTTTTAATCAACAGTCAACTTCAGTTATTCGGTACAGCTGGTCTGTAAAATGCTGCAAAATAGACGAGAGACAACAACAACGAGGAACTGTTTTCTTTTTCATTCTTCGTTTTTCAAAAAAAAGAAAAAAATTGAAAACAGAATATACTAATAACAACGATTGCAGTGACAGCAAAAACAATAATGTTAATGAAATGTTGTTGTTGTTGTTGTTGTTGTAGTCTCGCTGTTGCTGGTGCTGCTGCTGCTGCTGGTTAGTAGTGATGGAGATAGTGATATTGAAAATGATGATGAAGATGATGATGATGATGATGATGATGATGGTAGTGATGGAAAA